TTTGATTGGTCGATATTTTCTGCATCACAATTGGTCTTTATTCTCGATTTTGTAGACAAGTTAACTTGGTCGTCCAGAAATGCTCTGCTCGACAAAGCTCTTCGTTTAGCTTAATTTAGTCAGCCGTTGTTTCGTCTTCAATGCCAATTTAATTCTGTCGACCAGCGTCTCGTCGGCGAGCACTATCGCAGACCAGCGAAAGTGCTTTGTCCTTGACGAATTAATCTCGTCGACAGACAACTCATCACACATGAAAGTCCCCGAAGTCGACAACAGCCACAAATCGTAGCCGGATGCACACCTTTGTGCTCCGAGAAGCATGGTCGACCCAGCGGGGGTGGGGCCTTTTCTCTTCGATAGCAACATCTCGTCACCATCGTCCTATAGATTCACGATGCTATCCTTCAGCTGGTCGGCTGACGGCAAATTCGCTTGCACTCCTAGGACGTACAATACGTTGGGGATGAGAATTAGCTTCCTTCCCCTTGCAACGTGACAGTGCCACGAATTAGACAGCTTGAATTGCCCTATTGAAGCCGCCATCGCCTCCTTGACAAAGGCCTCCCGCGTTCCCATAAGGTGATAAGAGCAGGCGCTGTCAGTTAGATTGTTAGTACAGTGGCGACGACCACTTGAAGGTCCTCTCCCGGCCAAATTTTCCGTTTCTGAAGGCACGAGTTCGCCTAAGAAAATATCTTGAAAAAATCAACATTCCTCCGAAAATTTCCCTCATCCGTATGTGTTTCCAGAAATCCAATGTTGCACTACAGCATTTCAACACCCTAGGCACGAACGTCCATATCGCATGGATAGGACTAATAAACCGTTAACACTTACGTCGTGTCTGGGGGCACAGACGGGCATCGTTGCACTCGATATCCCACACGAAATCTAGTACTGAGTAAAAAAATCTCAAGATTGTTTCCAAACAATACTTAAGTCCCCAAGTGCTCGGCTAAATCATCTAGAAATCGTCCGGATGATTTCTAAACCAACTAAAAATATAGTAGGATTTACTAACAAAACATACGGAATGTACCTGAGATTCAGGGTGTTTACCATGATGCGAGAGCCCTGGTCCTCGCCGACCTTCAACGCCAGCAAGATCGTCGGCTCAACCACGCCGATCAAGCATGAGGCTGCTCCATCTCCGTGTGCGTTGCCACTAGAAAAATTGGTGTCCTTTATCGACGACGACTTTGACATCTGCTTCTCCTTACGAGGCTGGTTGTTACGATAATGTCGGCTGCCGTCGGTCTTCCTGCGGCCAGCTTCCTCGTCATTGTCTTGCACCTTGCAGTTAAGGCACTAGTAGGAAAACTAGTCGGGGTCTTTGCAGACGTAGCAGCGGTGCCCTCCTCGGCGCTTACTACCGTTGCCCTTGGTCGTCTTCTCACAGTCGGTGTCACTCGTTGATGCGTTGTTCACCGAATTCCCATTTCCGTTGCTGCCTTATCCCGACTCCCTGCTAATGTTTCTACTGCAACGGGATGATGTAGTTGGCATGCAAAAGAGGTTCCATGGACCACAAAGACTTCTACGTGAACTTGTCTTGGATGATGAAGCTCACCAACGAGTTCTTATCGAGCTGTGCATGCACGCCGAGCAATAGTATCATCCGACGCATCAGATTGTAGCCAGTGGAGAGGCCCTTGATGATGTGGATGACATATAATGGCACCAAGTAGTCGACTTCGGCCATCCGCAGGTCAGCTAGGATCCACCGAACACGGTTGCAGTACTCTGTCGTCAACTCTTGCTCGCCCATCCAGATTTTGGCCAACCGCTTCTCTGTTGGCAGATGTATAAGTAGTTGGTCATCTTGTAGGTTCGCATGATGAAATGACAGGCCCGAAAGTTGGCTTCCACCGCGAATTTGCCTAAAAAGCTTCAACTCCACTTGCACCATCGGCGAGCAACATCTCGAGATGACCATGGATGTCAGCAGTTGAGCAACTCTACATTCTGCCCGTCGACATCGTCTATGACCGGCGTCTCCACGTCGGCGTCAATGAGTCCCACAATCTCCAGCTGTGGCTCAACCGACTCCATCTGTGTGATCAGGTCATGACGACCCTCGAGCAGCTTGGGCATGATGATCTTGTCCAGTGAAATTTTGAAGTAATAGTAGGTCGGCGCAATGTCGCCGTCACGACCGGACGAACTGTGGGTCACCGAATTCGCCGACTGCAACACTTGCGCCGGCGCCACCAACCCCAGCGTCAACAGCCTGAATAACTCTATGCGTCACCCTCATGCATCCGTCGCTAACAAGGTTGCCGCCGACTTTGTTGTTTCTAAGTAGTTGGAGAGGCGGACGCACCATCCGCTTGAGCACGGGAAGGGGGATGCTCGCGCACCCACTGCCCACGGGTTCCTAAGAGCAGCACCTCCAAGTTCGATCTGCCGTACTTGCCACTCTGATAACGTGCCTGAACGTCAGCCTCTCTTGCCTGTAAGGTAACTCCTACACCTGCATCGACTACCGAGAGGTCGACCATGACGACAAAAAAGGCGGCCCACAAAGCTTTGCACTAGGGTGGCTTGCCATCGCTGCAGCAAGGCGGCTTGCCAGCGTCGTAGCCGCGGGTGATCATGCACGCGTATGTGCGCACCTTCCTAGTAGTTGCAAGTAGACGGTTGCACCATTACACACATTGCGCAGGTGCCAGGCCGACGTGCCCATGATGCTTGCCTCGCTGATAAAATTCGTCAGAACCGCCGGGGCTGAAGTCTGCATACCCCACCAGAACTTTGACAACTAGTTATCAGGTTGACCAGAAGAGGCCGCTAAGTCGGTGCTGACTTGACGGCCAGTAGACGCCCGCAGGTCAGCACCTTATCGATGAACATCTTCGTCGACCGTTGACGCCAGGCGCCGTTCGCCGACTTCGTCTAAGTCTCAGTGGTCGGCGTCATCGTGGCTGAATTCGCCATGCTACACCAAAATCGGCCAACCAAGCACGTCAAATTGCTCCTCAAAGTCGATTCCATCTGCCGAATACGCCTTTGGCTTGACCGAAGTCAACTTTGTCTTTCGTTGAAGTCGGCTTTGCACTGGTTGGCTCCGTTGATGCCAACCATACCAACATGCTCCATTTGGTGCACTGCATCGGCTTGAAAAAAGGCCAAGCGCACGTATGCGTGGTAAGTGCACGTATGCTCGGTGTGGTAGGGGTATATTGCCCATCCCATGTGTGGGAAGGAAGGTGGCCATCGTGCGATTGGTGTGCTTGATTGTGTAGTGTGGTGTACGTGTGGTGTGGATATCCCACCCACCCACCCATCCCCTCTCTGGAAGTGGGAGGGAAGGTGGATGTCATGGTGCGTTGCGCTGGGCGTGCTGACGCCGTGGTGTAGAGGGACGAGGGGGTTTGAGCAAGAGAAGGAGGAAGAGGGGACGAGGCATTTGGAAGGCTCAAGGCATGCAAAAGGCCAAGCCTGGACACGGATTTGTCATGGCTTCTCGCTCGCCAGTAGCCTTCTAAAAGTCCCTCGACTCCTTCTCGAGACGATGCAGTGCACTGGTTGGTTCAAGACGTATTTAAGATTGTTGTATTTGCGAATTGCATCCGTTTCGGATTATTTTTATTTCCCTGCCCGTTTCAGGGCAGAATCTAAAGTATAATTGTTACTAGGAGCTCATTTTGTGATGCCCTGTTTTATTGGCATTCTTAGATGGTGTCTCGGATTGAAATTATTTTATTTCTTCCTTCTGGAGACATATAACTGTACTTTTACCATGTCCACAATGATTTGCTCTGTGAGCTGTCGATCCACTTTGGTCAGCCGATGCCGTTCGTTTCACGCAGACATCCGTCGCGAAGCGCCACCCATAGGCACAAGTGAGCCCCGTATGGATGGCTGGCATGGCATGCCACCCGAGAAACGGTCCACAAACTTCCAGGGTCCAGGAAACCCATGTCCATTGTCCACCACCTCAGTTGACGACGACGCACCCGCTTTCCTTCGCACACACAACCAACCTATCCTTGAGTTTTCCAAGTGCAGGAGTTTTCTAAGTTTCCAACATAAACCTTGGGGTTTTATTCGCGAAACGGTATAGCAAAACTATACGACTGTGATTTCGCCCAAAATCGTGCGCATCTTCTGAAACAAATCCAACTTCGGCAGTGCTTCCAGATGGGTTACCACGATTCTGACTTCCAAACACCGAGGAAACCCGCGATGCACACTCTTTCTTTCTGAAACAAAAAAACACACTGGATGTCCAGCCCATTGCCCCAAACTGCAAGGGTGGGTCGAACTTCACGAACTGCGGACCATGTACGACGACGAACCATGGCTTCTGCATGCGTCCGCCTCAGCAGTAACCTACGATCTGCCTTCGTGTCGCTGATGTGTGCCCCTTTCTTCTGCTGCTGAATTGGTCGGCTGGAGCGGGGACGTCAAGGCTCACGCGCCTCTTCCGCGCATATGTAATTCAGACTCTCATTAGACTCTCTTTGGGAATCTTTCACTGATGTTGACTCTGACTCATTCGGAACTAAGCAGGTGGTGAAAGTGCTCCTCGTAAAGGCATTCCCGGATTCGTTCAGGCTTGGAGCCAAGCGATAGCTCTAGCTGGTTAACGATTTAGCTTCGAATTCGTTTCCGAGGATCCGCGGTTCCATCTTTCGCAATGTACCTTCCCGAAAACTGTTCATCCACCCCCACCGTTCTGAATCCCTATAAACCTCGCGACAATCCGTACTGTCAAGCCGTGCCTATAAACCTCGCGAAAAATTCTCAGCTAACGGGATATCTGCCGCCAACAGCACACGTACTACGCGCTCGTGTCTGTTCTGCGTGTGGCTAGATTGCGGCCTCGAACCGTTAGCAGTGCTACCGTAGTAGTTGTGACACGAAGCTCGATCATGCATTCAGCGGCGCTCGATCGCCGCCCCGCCCGGACCCTTCCCGGTTCGGGCCGCATTTGCCGCGGAAGCTCATCCGAGTCGCCGCAACAATGCGCGGAGAACCATGGTACTGCATTCTCAATGGCGGAATTCAACCCCTCCGCCGCCCCGGCTCCCGGCGCGCTCGCTCCCACCGGCTCGCGTCCGCAAACCCGCGGCCAAAAGCCTTCTTTCCCCCGCTCTGCTTCGCTGGGCGCTGGCGGAAAATCCTCCCCCGTACCTCCAACCGCTTCGAGCGCAGCGCATGAGCGCGACCTCCGCAGGCGCTCGTCCGCGGCGGGATCAGCGGGAGCGGATCTCGGCGCACGAGTCGCGGCGGCGGCGGCGGCGGTGGCGGCATCCGTGTCAGCGGCAAATGCGGCTCCGCTGGTTGCTCCTACGGTTGCTGAGCCTTCCGTCGCGGCAGAGGCGGCGGAGGCTGCTGCGGAGGCGGCGGCGGCCGCAGCGGCGCAGCGGATCGCGAAAGCGCGGGAGCTGATGGAGCGGCTACACCAGCCGACGGCGCACGAGATGCGCCAGCAGCGGGAAGAGGCGGAGCGGCGGGAAAAGGCGCGGCAAGAGATGCTGGAGAGGCAACAGAACGAGGAGCGGCGAAAGCAGGAGCTGGTAACCCGCGCGGCGACGATCATCGCGACCGCGGGGATGCCGGGCGCGCGAGAGTTCCGCGCGGAGCAGGAGCGGCGGGAGGAAGAACGGCGCGCGCAAGAACTGCGCGAGCAGGAAGAGCGGGAGGCGGAAGAGCGGCGGCGGAGAGAAGAGGAGGAGCGAAGACAGAGGGAAGAGGAGGAGCGGCGGCAGCGGGAAGAGCGGCGCCAGCAGTTGAAGAACCGGGCGGCAACGATTGTCGCTAATGCGCCTTCGTGGGAGCAGGCGCTACAGCAGCAGCTGAAGCAGCAGGATCATAGTGCCGCTACAGCCGGTTTACTAGATTCGGAAAATTCGGGCGTGAATGCGAGTGAATCGTCGCCGGTGCAGTTGCCGCGACGTCGCCCACTGACGCTACAGATCGACGACGCGATCGGCGATTGTAACGCTGTAACGGTCGCTTCCTCCGCGACGGGTCCCGCCAAGCCTCCGCGACAATGCGCGGTGGGGGCGGAACGCAGCCCGCGATCAGCGCCGCTGGTGACGGCGGCGGCATGCGCATCCGCGCAAGCAGTGATGGCGGGAGCGAAGTCCCCCGGATCAATCTCCCGGGGCGCGGCGCGCTCGTTCGGATCCCTTTCCCCCACGGCATTCCTTCCGCCCAAGTCTCCCGCTGCGCCGACCTGGGGCGCAGGCGCAGTTTCCGCTAGGGAGGAGGTGAGCAGGCCTGACGTGAGTAGACCGGAAACGATTAAATCCCCCAAAGGCGCGGCGCAGCTTTCTTCGTCCTCGGGAGGTCGTCACACGCGGAGTTTTCACGGGCAGCAGCAAAGTTTCCACGGACAGAACGGCGAGCCGCCCAGGCAGAGAACCAGTCAAGTAAAAAAATCGGTGTCGTTTCCCGACATGGCGTGTTTACACCCGTCCGGGCTTCCCGTGAAGGCCGCAGAGCGGAGTAACACTACGGGTAGCAGTAGCGTGATTCACGGCGGAAACACGACAACTACTAGCAGCGGCTTCAGCCGTATCCCAGGGGCCTCGCGCGGCGCGTCAGCGATAGAAAGGTCAACTAGGAGAGGCGACTCGATGGATTTCACTAGCGATCGCTTAGTAGCAGTAGAAGAGGACGAGTGGGGTCGCACGGGGATGGAGAGGCGACGCGAGAGGAGGAGAGGAGGCAGCGAGGGGTGCGAGCCGGCATTCGCGGATGACTGGACGACGGATCGCGACGATGTTCCTGTAGCGAGAACGCTTGTAGCGAGTACGGCTGTAGCGAGCGGGTGGGAGCGCGAGATAAGCTTAGCAAATATGCCTCTAGATTCCGCGCCGCCGGTGCCAGTCGAGTCGCCCCGCCCGCCCTTCGCTGCTGCCGCCCCCGCGGACGCGCCTGGAACTGAGATTGATCTGCACGATAGCCCTCCCTCCCCTTCCCCTCCCTCCCCACTCCCTCTCTCGCCCTCTCCCCACACTCTCCCTCGCCACCCTTTCTCTCCTCACTCTCCCTCCCCGCACTCCCTCTCTCCTCACCCCCCCTCCCAAGACGCTTCAAAACCCTATGGCACATCGCCTATCCCTCCAGCCTTTCACGGCGCGACTCGAAAGAAGGACTCTCTTCCGCCTCTTTCCCCCACCTGCATTTCCCCCCACGCCCCCCCCGCCGGACCTGCCTCCAAGGCTCGGCACGCCTACCCCCGGAGCAAGAGCTCCGAAGCAGGAGGTTCGGCACCAGAAGGCAAATCTCCCGAACCTGAGTATTCTCCAGGTTGGGATGGTGTTGTCGAGGTGAACAGGGTGCAATCCATAGACGAACGGGTTCGAGGCTCGGGCCGAGCCTGCGCTGCCGAGGCTGAGGATTCGCCTTGTGGACGGGTAGGCCGAGCCAAGACAGTGGAAGGCAGGATTGAGGGAAAGGGAGGGGGAAGAGGGAGGGGAGGAGCAGGGGGGGTGAGAGAAGCGATGGGAGTGGGTGAGGGTGTGAGAAGAGGAGAAGTGCAGCAGAGACGACCAGGAAATCGGTCGCATAGTAAATCCATGGACTCAACAGCGGGAGGTATGGGATGCAGCAAGCAGCAAGCAGAATCCGCATCAGACAGCCAGGGCAATCACAGCAGCCCGAGCAACCAGGGTAATCAGGAGGGCAACCGGGGTAACCAGGGCAACCGGGGTAACCAGAGTAACCGGGATAAGCAGGACAGTTCGGGCAGCGCAGCAGCAGGGGGAGACGGCAAGGCGAGAGTGGGGTCTGAAAGAGTTGCGAGGAGAGGGCTCGTGAAGCATGCGAGTAGTGCGGTGGAGAGGGGCAGCAGAGGGAACTCGTCAGGGGATGCAGCTGGGGAGGGTTCGGGGAGAGGCGGAGGGAGAGGCGCGCACAGAAGGGCAGCTACATGGGCCGACCCGAAAGAATTGAGCCCGGCAGGGAGGGAGGATGGAGGAGAAGGCGGGGCGCTTTCCAGGCGATCACCCGGCGCTGCCACTGCTGCTGGCACATGCGCGGCGGAAGCAAAGGCAGATGGGAGCGGCCGTTGCGAGCCGATTCAGAACCACTCTGGTGCCGACTCAACCCCAGCAACATGCGAGGCGGACGCAGAAGCAGACGAGCGAGGCCAGTGGGAGGAGGCAGAGCTGCACATCCAGACGCGGTTCTTCAAGGCGAGCCGCAACCGCCTCTTCAGCCTCGCTGCCAAAGGCCTCTCCTCCTTCTCCAAACTCCTTGCTGCTGCCGGCGCTGCTGCTGCTGGGGCGGCAGCTGGCATGGGCGTGGGGGTGGTGGGGGTGAATGTGCTAGGTGGGGAGTTTGGGGAGGTGGAGGCGCGGTATGAGGTGGAGGGAGGTAAGGAGCTGGGCGCGGGGCAGTTTGGGGTGACGAGAGTGGTGGTGTGTCGGAGCACTGGGAGGCGGCTTGCGTGCAAGACCATCAAAAAGGCTGCTTTCAAGGTATGCATTGTTTTTGTTCCGACTATTTGTTGTTGTTCGCGCCCTCTCCTCGTCCACTTTACCGTGCTTCTTGCTCCTCATTTCCTCCTTCCCCCCTTGCTCTACCCACCCGCATGCTCTGCCCCTTTCCTTGCTCCCACCCCTCCACCCCCCAGTCCAAATCCGACATCGAAAACGTGCGTCGTGAAGTCGCCATCCTAAACCTCCTCAAATCCCACCCGAACGTAATCCACCTGGAAGAACCCATTGAAACCCCTCAAGCCATCCACCTGATAATGGAGCTGTGCACGGGCGGCGAGCTATTCGACCGCATCAAGGAGCGGCGGCGGTACAGCGAGAGGGAGGCGGCGTTGGTGATGCGGGCGGTGCTGGGCGTGCTGCACAGCTGCCACCACCGCCACCACGAGCTCCCTGCAGGGAGGTGCTCTATCGTGCACCGCGACATCAAGCCCGAAAACATCCTCCTCGCCTCGCCCACCTCCCACACCGACGTACGCGTGATCGACTTCGGCGTCGCGACCTTTCTCAAGCCGGGGGGGAAGCCACTGAGCGACGCGGTCGGGTCGCTGTTTTACATCGCGCCGGAGGTGATTGCCGGGTCGTACGGGACGCCGGCGGACGTGTGGTCAGCGGGCGTGGTCCTGTATGTGCTGCTGGCCGGCGTGCCGCCCTTCTGGGCGGAGACGGAGGCCGGGGTGGCGCGGGCGATCAAGGAGGCGGAGGTGGGCTTTAAGGGGTCGGCGTGGAGGGGTTTATCGGAGGAGGGGAAAGATTTGATTCTCAAGATGCTGGATCGCGATCAGAAGCGGAGGGTTTCGGCACAGGAGGCTCTAGGTGGGTTTTGGCCAGTATGGTGGGTGTGGTTAGCGGTTGGACGAGGTTCATGGAAGGTATGTGGGTGGGAGCATAAGGCACTGAGAGTGTCACCAGGCAGGTGTGAGGGGGGCATGTGCAGGAACATGGGCTTGCAAGAGTGGTTCTTACTGCTTCCTACATACATTTCTGTCTCACTTATGTTCTGATCTCCCTTATGTTCTGACGCGGGTGGGAAGATGCTGATTGCCCGTCCTTTTTTCCTTCCCTCATATTCCCTTCCGTCCTCTTTTCGCATCCCTCATTACTCATCTGTCTCTCTTCCATGCCAACTCCCCGTTATCTGTCTTGTTTTGGTTGCAGAGCATCCATGGTTCAGTCGCTTTCAATAAATGAACCCATAGACTCGACTATGCTTTCAAAATAACTGAAAAACAAGACTAAATTGATTTACCGTATTTGAAACAAGCATTCTTCAAGTACAGTCAAATCCCACTGTTTCTGAGAGCATGTTATGCAGGTAATTTTGTGAAGTCAAACTTGGAGAGGTTGCAGCAGAAAAGCCATGTGCTAAATACTGATAAACCACCAAATGCGCGACTTCAACCAGTTCAGATAGTTGTGGCTTTCCGGATCTCACAATAACGAGATTGTTCTGGTCAACGCACCTACCAGTATGTTGGAATCCCCAACATATGCAGCACGGTCTGAGACAGATTCACCTACGACCAAGCGTCGCCGCCGGCGTCGGTAGCGGCGGAGTGGATAAGCCAGACGACTTCTCTGAGACGGTAGCGATCGCATTGGCTATTTTCGCCAATGACGTCATCCTTATGCCTTCGCCATACATGGTCATCTCCTGGCTGCTCAACCCTGCGCGCAATTCGCGCCGCGGATCACGGAGGCGGTAGGGAGACTGTTGCCGAGCCTTGCAACCGTCAAACAAGCGGACGGCCGATGGCGATACGATCAGTCACAGCTCGTTACAGTCACGCGACAAATCCCGCCCGCCGATCTCAGCCAATCAGCCGTCTCCTAGGCTCCACGTGGCCCCCCTCCCTCGCGTCCGTACACGCGACGCGAACCGCCCTCTATTCTCGTTATAGCGTTCCCCTCGGAACAGCACGTGTGCTGAATCCGACGTGTCGCCCTACCGCAAGCCTAGCTGGACTTAGTCGTGTTTCGTTGACCAGTGGTGTGGGTCTAGCTGTTGGAATTGGCGCGCTTATAGCGTATCTTGCTATCAAGAATGGAAGGAGATTAATCGACGGCAGGAGGAGCGTGACGAGCGGGAGCGCCGCCGGTTTTCGCGGTTCAAGAGTCGCCGCGCGGAGTAGCGCTGCGGGAGGCAGTGCTGCTGTTGCCAGCGGGAACGGCGCCGGAAAATCTGGCGGGAATCGCGGTGGTGGGACGCCGAAGCGGAGTCCGGAAGGGCTGAAACTGGTTGGGGGGAACGGAGAGGTGCATCAGGAGCTGACGTGGCAGCTCCCCTCGTTACAAGAACCTTACAGGTGATTGCAATGACAAAGGAAGGGTTGAAGAAAAAACTGAATTTCCTGCTGGCGTTTCAAACCCGAACGCGTTTGATTTTTGCCAGTAACGTAACGCAACTTGGAAACTCGTGATTTAAAGTGAACCTGAAACTGACACCAGCAACCTCTTTCCCACCTTTTCCCAACTTTCCAGCACAGGCCCTTCTTTGGACCACTGGCGAACTGCCACGTGGAGACCATCTTTGCAGCCGTGGCGCGCTCCCTGCCAGCTGTGCGGTTCAGAAGGGAGTGCCTGAGAATGGCGGATGGTGGCACGGTGGCTCTTGATTGGCCCGTTGGGGGCGAGGCGCTGGAAGGCACGTCGGCCAATGGCGAGGTGCCACCTGGCACTCCCTGGCTGATCCTGCTGGTGAGTCGTCAGTGATTGATGCTGCAATTCCATCTTCCATGCAACTAGCTTGCAGTTGATACACATGTGTGGCACACACAAGACATGCTACATACGTGCGTGCAACACATGCTGGTGCTCTGAATGCGTCCTCTCTCCTCTCCTCTCCTCTCCTCTTCTCTCCTCTCCTCTCCTCTCCTCTCCTCTCCTCTCCTCTCCTCTCCTCTCCTCTCCTCTCCTCTCCTCTCCTCTCCTCTCCTCTCCTCTCCTCTCCTCTCCTCTCCTCTCCTCTCCTCTCCTCTCCTCAATCCCTTGATTCCCTCACCCACCACCAGCCCGGGTTGACAGGCGGCAGCGGAGACACATATGTGAGGCACATGCTGCTGCGGGCCAGGCAGGCAGGTTAGGGCACAGTGGCCTGCCATCCCACCCTTGCATCCCCCCTCCTCTCCTCTCCCCCTTGCATCCCCCCTCCTCTCCTCTCCCCCTTGCATCCCCCCTCCTCTCCTCTCCCCCTTGCATCCCCCCTCCTCTCCTCTCCCCCTTGCATCCCCCCTCCTCTCCTCTCCCCCTTGCATCCCCCCTCCTCTCCTCTCCCCCTTGCATCCCCCCTCCTCTCCTCTCCCCCTTGCATCCCCCCTCCTCTCCTCTCCCCCTTGCATCCCCCCTCTCCTCTCCTCTCCCCCTTGCATCCCCCCTCCTCTCCTCTCCCCCTTGCATCCCCCCTCCTCTCCTCTCCCCCTTGCATCCCCCCTCCTCTCCTCTCCCCCTTGCATCCCCCCTCCTCTCCTCTCCCCCTTGCATCCCCCCTCCTCTCCTCTCCCCCTTGCATCCCCCCTCCTCTCCTCTCCCCCTTGCATCCCCCCTCCTCTCCTCTCCCCCTTGCATCCCCCCTCCTCTCCTCTCCCCCTTGCATCCCCCCTCCTCTCCTCTCCCCCTTGCATCCCCCCTCCTCTCCTCTCCCCCTTGCATCCCCCCTCCTCTCCTCTCACCCTTGCATGCACCCCTCCCTTGCCTTGCCACCCATGCAGCCGGGGCTAACTGGTGGCAGTGGCGACACATATGTGAGGCACATGCTGGTGCGTTGACTGCTCCCTTATCCCATCTCATCCCTCTCTCCCCAACGTTGCAGCCGGGGCTGACGGGAGGCAGTGGCGACACGTACGTGAGGCACATGCTGGTGCCTTGACTGACTGCTCTCATCGCACTCCACTTCCTGCTCTCACCTCGCCTTTGCACTCCACCCACCCCTCCCTCCAGCCCGGGCTGACAGGCGGCAGTGGCGACACGTACGTGAGGCACATGCTGGTGCGGGCCAGGCGGGCGGGGTGGGGCACAGTGGTCTTCAACTCGCGAGGCTGCGCCAACAGCCCCGTCACACCTCGCCCCAGGTGATTCACGTGATGTGATGCCACTGCCACATGCCATGTGTCACCTTCCACGCGCCACGTGTCAAATGTCTCACCTCAAGTCTCGAGGAGGGCTGGGTGGGGCGTCGCATTCATCTCTAGAGGCTCCATAATGAACCCCCGCCACCTCACCGCAGGTGAAGCCCCAGGTGATGCCCCAAGTGATACCCCAGGTGATACCCCAGGTGATGTCCCAGGTGATACCCCAGGTGATACCCCAGGTGATACCCCAGGTGATGTCCCAGAAGTTTCGCCAGAGGATGCATCAGGTGCTTCCCTAGGTGATACCCCAGGTGGTCGATGCCGAATATCTCTCCCTTCTCCCTTCTGCTTCTGCGTTCCAAGGGTCTCTCCCCCCTCTCCAGCCCTTAAACCTCTCCCCCTTTCTCCTTCTCCCCCCTCTCAGCCTTTAACCTCTCCCCCTTTCTCCTTCTCCCCCTCTCCAGCCCTTTAACCTCTCCCCCTTTCTCCTTCTCCCCCCTCTCTAGCC